AACTAATATTTTTAAAAACACAATTATACTGGTTTAAAAGCTATTATTTTGTAATTTGTTTGTAACTCCACATTTTCTATTTATATAATTTAAGAGACTAATGCACTTAAAATAATTATTAGTTTATGTTTTGGGGCACATAATGTATAAAGATGTAATTTTGTGACATCAATAACTGAAAGGAGTGGGGATAGAGCTGTAAAAAAGTGGAGTTTCTGGATGTTACTATAGTTAAGATGTTATAAATTAAAATTAGAGTGTTACAGCTTCAGGCTATTAAATGTAATCCACATGGTAGCCACAAAGAAAATAGCCATAGAATAAATGCTAAAAGAATTTAAATTCTTAAGCATTTCGCTACAAAAAAATCAACTAAACATAAAGGACAGTAATGCAGGAAATAAGGTACAAAATTTAAAAGGCATATGGAAAACAAATAGCAAAATGACAGAAGTCCCTCCCTATCAGTAATTACTTTAAATGTAAATGGATTAATCTCTCCAATCAAAAGAGATTGACAGAATGGATAAAAACACATAGACAATGGACTAGCTTTAGATCTAAAGACACAAATAGATTGAAAGTGAACAGATGGAAAAAGATAGTCCATGCAAATAGTAACCAAGAGAGCAGGGGCAGCTACTAATATCAGGCAAAATTGACTTTACATCAAAAAATACTACGAGACAAAGGACATTTTATATTAATAAAAGGTTCAATAGAGAAAGAAGATATAACAATTGTAAACATTTACATATCTAATAACAGACCATCAAAATCTACAAAGCAAAAACTGACAGGAATGAAAGGAGAAACAGTTCTAAAATAATAGTTGGAGACTTCAATACTCCACTCTCCATAATGGATAGAAAAACCAGATAGAAGATAAGTAAGGAAATAGAGGACTTAAACAATACAATGAGCCAACTAAATCTAAGACATTTACAGAACACTCAAATTGAGTGTTGTTACAGAAAACGCCCAACAACAACAGCATACACTTTTTTCTGAAGTGCACATGGGATATTTTCCAGGATACAGACCATATGTTAGGCCACAAATTACTCTCAACTGATTTAAAAAGATAGAAATCACACGAAGTATTACTTTGAACACAAGAGGATGAAATTAGAAATCAATAACAGAAGGAAAACTGGAAAACTTACAAACTTTTGAAAAATAACACTCTTAAACAACTAATGGATCAAAGAAGGAATCACAAAGTTAATTAGAAAATACTTAGAGATAACTGAAAGTGAAAATACAACATACTAAAACTTATGAGACACGGTGAATGCAGTATTAAGAGGAAAATTTATAGCAATAAATACTTACATTAATAAACAAGAAAGATCTCAAAATGATGTTGCTTTACAACTTATGGAACTAAGAAAAAAAAAACCTAAACCCAAAGCTACCAGAAAGAATGAAACAATAAAGATTAGGCAACGATAAACAAAACAGAGGCTAGAAAAACAATAGAGAAAATAAATGAAACCAAAAGTTGGTTCTTAGAAAAAAATCAACAAAGTTGACAAACTTTTAGCTAAATGGGCTAAAAAAAAGAGAGAAAGCTCAAATCACTAAAATCAAAATTAAAGTGGGGACATTACCAATTATATTACATAACTAAAAGGGTTATAAAAGTACTATGAAAAATTGTACGTCAGCAAATTGGATAACCTAGATAAAATGGACAAATTACTAGAAACACTAAATCTACCAAAACTAAATCATGAAGAAATAGAAAAATCTGAATAGATCTAGAATTAGTAAGGAGATTGAATTAGTAATCAAAAATCTTCTGATGAAGACCAGCCCTGGACTCGATGGCATCACTAGTGAATTCTATCAAACATTTAGAGAAGAACACTGATGCTTCTCAAACTTCAAAATAAATCAAACAGGAGGAAACTCTTCTAACTCATTCTGTGATGCCAGCATTACCATGATATGAAACCCAGAAAAAGACACTATTAAGAAAACTACACACCAATATCCCTTATGAACAGTGATGCAAAAATCCTCAACAAATTAGCCAACCGAATGCAGCAGCATATGAAAAGGATTATACACCATTACCAAGTAGTATTTGCTCCTGGAATGCAAAGATGTTTCAACATATGAAAATTGATCAGTGCAATATACCACATCAACAGAATGAGGAATATAAAAAAAAATAATGATCATCTCAATTGATGCAGAAAAAGCATTTGACAAAATCCAATAACCTTTGATGATAAAAACACTCAACAGGAATAGAAGGATGTTACCACCACATAATAAAAGCTACATATGAAAAACACACAGGGAACATCATACTCAATGGTGAAAGACTGAAAGCTTTTCTTTCAAGATCAGGAAGAAGGTACGGATGCTCACTGTGGGGACTTCTATTCAACCCAACACTGAAAGTTCTAGCCAGAGCAATTATGCAAGAAAAAGAAATAAAAGGCATTCAAATTGGAAAGGAAAAAGTAAAATGATCTGCATTGGAACATGATATGATCTAATGAAAACCCTAAAGATTCCATTAAAAAACTGTTAGGAGTACTAAATGAATTCAGCAAAGTACCAAGATACAAAATAAACACAAAAATCAGTTCCAATTTTATACACTAACAATGAACAATTCTGGAAATTATGGAAACAATTCCATTTACAATCGTATAAAAAAGAATAAACACTTGAAAGCTATGTAAATTAACTAACCATTGTCACCCAAAAAAATTTAATTTAAAAAAAGAATAAACACTTAGGGGGCCAGCCGAGTGGCTCAGTTGGTTAAGAGCTCGCTCAAGAGTTTGAGCTCTGAGCAACAGCGGTTCGAGTTCTGGCCCGAGCTGAACAGCCGCTGAGCTGCCAACAGGTGGCAGGATGGTTCAGCTAAACAAACCAAAAAAAAAAAATTATAAAAACACTTAGGAATTAACTCAAACGAGTAGGTGAAAGACTTGTACAACAGAAACGATAAAACATTAGTAAAAGAAACTAAAGTAGACATAAATAAATGGAAATACAACCTATGTTCATAGATTGGTATATTTAATATTTTTAAGATGTTAATACTACCCAAAGTGATCTACAGATTCAATGCCATATCTATCAAAACTCTGATGACGTTTTTTTTGCAGAAACAGAAAAAACATTTAAAAATTCATATGGAATCTCCACGGACCCCAAATAGACAAAACAATCTTGAAAAGGAAGAACAAAGCTGTACGACTCACACTTCTTAATTTCAAAAACTTAGTGCAAAATTACAGTAATCAGAACAGTTTGGTACTGGCATAAAGAAAGGCATAGAGACCAACAGAATAGAATACAGCTCAGAAGTAAATTTTCACAAATATGGTCAAATGATTTTTAACAAAGCTACCAAGATCATTCAATGGAGAAGATACAGTCTTTTCAAGAAATGGTGCTGAAAAAACTGGATATGCATGTACAAAAAAATTAAGTTATCTCACACAATATGCAAAAATGAACTCAAGGTGTATCAAAGATATAAAATTAAGGCCTAAAAGTATCAAACGCTTAGAAGAGTATACAGCAAAAGCTTCACGACACGGGATTTGGCAATGATTTCCTAGATATGACAAGAAAAGCATAGGCAGTAAAAGAAAAAGTAGACACAGGGTACTTCATGAATAATTTAAAATGTTTCCATCAAAAGAGAAGATCAACCAAGTAAAAACCCACAGGATGCAAAAAATATTTGCAAATCATATAGCTGATAAGGGACTAATATCCATAATACATAGAGAACTCTAAAATTCAACAACAAAAATTTAAAGAAATGTGCAAAGGATTTGAATAGACATACATTCTCCAAAGATATATTGGGTTGTCGAAAAAGTCATGACACATTTTTGCAATGAAAAACATAGAAAAAATATGTCATGACTTTGCCGACAACCCAATACAAGTGGTCAATAAGCACATGAAAAGATGTTCAGTATCACTAGCCATTTGGAAAATGAAAATCAAAACCACAATGAGATACCACCTCACACCTATTAGGAATACAATAAAAAACAAAACAAAACAACAGAAAATAACAAGTGTTGACAAGGATGTGGTAAAACTGAAAAGCTTGAGTGCTGCTGGTGGGAATACAAAACAGTACATCCACTGTGGAAAACAGCATGGTGGTTCCTCAAAAAATTAAAAATAGAATAACCATATGATACAGCAATTCCACTTCTGGTTATATACCTAAAAGAAGTAAAAGCAGAGTCTCAAACAGGTATTTGTACACCCATTTTCAGAGCATTATTCCCAATAGCTAAAATGGAGAAGCAACCCAAGTATACATTTAAGAAAAATGGATAAGAAAAATATAGTACGTATATATATACACAATGGAATATTTTTCAGCCTTTAAAAGGACAGAAATTCTGACATATGCTACAACATGGATGAACCATGAGGACATTATGATAAGTGAAATAACCCAGTAACGAAAAGACAAATACTATATGATTCCATATATGAGGTAGTCAAATTCAAAAAAGAGTAGTCAAATTCAAATAGACAAAAAGTTGAATGGTGGTTGTCAGGGGTTAGGGAAAGGTGGAAATAGGCAGTTAATGTTTAAATGGGTAAAGAGTTTCAGTTTTACAAGATGAAAAATTATGGACATGGTTGGTGATGATGGTTTCAAAACATTGTGACTATATTCATTACCACTGAAATGTACATGTAAAAATGGCTAAGAAGTTAATCTAAGATTATGTGTAGTATTTCACAATAAAAAATGAAGAGAAAAATAGCCTTCTTGAGCAGGCTCATTAGTGAAAGGGGTTTTAAATCCCATTTGATCCAACATGGCTGTTGCCAGCTATTCCCAGAGAAACATTTCCTCCTCCTCCTCCTCCTCTTTATCAGAGTGATCCATTTTCATCTGTGAGTCAGTGTTTCTAACCAACCCCCACACTGGAGGGCTCCTGAGCGCTCAAAACAGAAATCAACGGGAGGAAATAAAACCCTTGCCTTACCGGGGTCCAGAAAGGGCTGGCCTTCCCCAGCAGCACCGTAGCTCAGCTCCTGGGGCCCTGCCTCTGGGATCCACGCCTCTGCCACTGGGGCCTCAGGGACAGGTCCCATTGCTTGGAGTGGGGGTGACTCCAGGTGGATGGTTGGTGCTATATCTGCCATTCCCACTGCTGCCAAGTCTTCCAAGAGCATTTCCTGCCTATCGAGCTGGGGGAAACACCAAAAGCCATCACTCTAAGTCTAGACCAGCAGTGCCCAGTAGCAATATATGTAAGCCACCCAAATCATTGAAAATTATCCGGTGCCCATATGGAAAATACAAGGAACAGGTAAAGTCAATCTTAACATGCATTTTTATGCAATATATCTAAAATACCATAATTTCCGAATTCAGAATGTAATCAGTTAAACAATTCTTTTTAAGTTGTTTTCATGAGATATTTCACCTACTTTAGTTTTCATCGTAAGTCTTCTGAATGTGGTGTGCATTGCATACTTACAGCATATCCCAATTTGGACTAGTCAAGTTTCTAGGCTAAGAGCCACACCTGGCTGGTGGCACCACCCTGGCAATGCGGGATTAGGCCACATGAAGACAAATTCTTATGTGGTAAGACAAACAAAGAGACAGAGAAAGAAGGGAAACCATACACCCATTCCATCCTGGGGGCAGGAAACTTTGGAAGAGTCCAGTTCAGGCAGGCTACCTGCAGAGCCCCATCAACACACACGACTCGCATGCCCCTACTGCCCAACTAGAAGCGCTTCCTCTCTTCTCCCAAGATGCTGCCCTGTGCTGAGCTATGGCTCGCCCCACACAGGTTTCACTCAGTGATTGAACAGAGGGCAGGGCCAGCGCCCTCATGAGACGTTTTGGATACGATGGCAGGTGGTGACTATCAGAATTTTGTGGGCAGAGAAGGGTGTATAAATGCACAGCTGCAGATTTGTTCCAGGTCCCTACCAACTTTGGAGTGCTCCCTCAAATATTCATGTAGGAAAAAAGTAACCCGGTGGTCATATAAACACATTATATTGCATATTTTAGCATGACGTGAATTTTCTAGGAAAGCACTACTTTGGAAATCATAGAAAGACTACACTATTAATTGTTCAGATTTGCGAAAGTGTTTGCATCTTTGGGAAAATCACATGACCTGCAACAGCACTGCTCATAGTGCTTGGGCTGTTTCAGACTGAATTTCTGTCTGTCGCATTCACAGTGAGTCTAAGCAGAGCGGCCAGCACGTGACAACGTCATGAGGTCCTATGGAGCACTCAACCCCGTCATGGCCATGCTGAAATGCTTATTAATTTATAATAATCTACATACCTTTTCCTTTATATTCCTTCTAGACTCTACTTGAGTCAGTATTGGCCACCTTTTTCTGTAATGAGCCAGACAGCAAATATTTTAGGTTTTCTAGGTCATGTTAGGCTGTTGCCTATTCTTTTTTTTTCGTGACAACCTTTTAAAAAAGTAGTAACCATTATTAGTTTATGGGCTGTATAAGAACAGGCCTTGGGCTGCATTTGGCCCATAGGCCATAGAGCACTTAATATACTGATGTTTTTGATTTTGCGTAAGTAGGTTAAATTATCTATAAATTTTAGGATAGTACAGAGGACATTACCAAATATTTGAGGAGTTGGGTTTAATAGTTGAGAATCACTGACCTATATGCTGATTCCAACCAAAGGATAATATGAAAATCACTGCAGGGAAATCCTGGGACACAAACACAAAATGTCTAATTTAGTACCAGATGTGTCTGCTATTTCTTTTGGTATTATTACCCAGATCCAAACTCTTTTCTCACCTGCTGCTCTGGTATCTCAAGTTCTCTCTGTAAGTCTTCTATCAGTGACACAACTCTTTCTCTATTCTCTGGGCAATGTTCCCTCACCCAGGTCTCTATCTCCGTGGGCAGGATTGTTAGGAATTGCTCCAACACTAGAAGCTCCAGGATTTGTTCCTTAGAACGCATCTTTGGCTTCAGCCATTGACAGCAAAGCTCCCAGAGTTTGTTGAAAGCTTCATGAGGCCCGGCTGCTTCTTTGTACTGGAACTGCCTGAAGCGCTGACGGAAGACTTCAGAGTCAGTATCATACTCTTGAAACACTGAGCCCTGATTCAAGGAGGCTTGGATTGCACAACCTAGGGCCACAGCCATTGCCCGTTCCAGCCGTGTACAATTTATCTGGGGCCTGAAGTCTCAGATTCCAGTGTGTTTCTTTGTGTAATTCTTGTGGGGGAGGTACCTACAGCTGAGGACAGGGCAAATGAGAAAGGAGAAACAGCAGTGGTTACCAGAGGGCATCCTCACCTCCCTTAACTGCTTGCTTTTCACCAAAGGCCTAAAGTAGCACATTGTAATCTTTTAGGAGGTTTTGAGAATCTGATGAAAGCCATGGACTCACTTCCTAGAAAAATACGCATACACTTCTAATTCTGCATCCAAGTTCAAAAAGCTTATAAAATCTTCAAGATCATCCATGGACCCTCTAGAACAGGGGTTGGCAAACTGCGGCTCGTGAGCCATATGTGGCTCTTTGGGTACGTTCTGTCTCAAAAGTTTGCCGACCTCTGGAAGAGCCAATCCAGTCCCTCACAAAAATTTAAAAATTATTCGAGGGTCACAAATATATTTTACATAATCACCGTTATGTGAATACTATCCTTTAAAAATTTTATAAATGAAACTATGATAGTTTCATTTTCAATTTTACTTCAGAGCCTGCGGATCGCGAGCTGCACTTTGCTGACCCCTGGCGACTCTTCTGTCTCAAAAGTTTGCCGACCCCTGCTCTAGAATTGTGCTGTCCAATATGGTAGTCAATAGTTTAATATGGCAGTTTAAGTTATTTAAAAATAAAAATTCAGTTTCTCATTCATACTATTCATATTTCAAGTGCTCAGTAGGCACTGTCACAGAAAGTTCCACTGGACAGCTGTGTTCTAGAATACCTCGGGCACAAGGCTAAGAATCTTTTCCTTTAAATGAATGCCTATAGATCTGGTGGCCTACATGCCCACTCCCAGTCTAATAACAAGTTTCTAGTGTTTCTGAATAGTTAGGCCACGGAAGAAATAGGGGAGCAATACTTACAATCTTGGTTGGTAAACCTGAAAGTCCCTCTACCTTTGAGGAACCTTTAGTCACCTTCAATCATGGGTATTTTAGCGAGAGCCACACCTTACAAAGGCAGCAACCCATCAATCCATTCTCCACTCAAGGTATGTGTAGTTCAGCCTACACCACCATGACCCTCAGCCTGCAATGGCATTCCAAGTGGCTTTCTCATGAGAAAAATATACTGCACAGGGCAGGCGATTGGGACCCCGGCCTCCACTGATCATGAAGAACAGTTATCACACAGCATGCTACGTGCCAGGTAATGTTCCAAGCCTCCTACATCTATTCATTTAGCCCTCACCCAATGTTAGGAGGTGGGTACTATTGTAGTCTTATGTCCTGAATACACGAGGGGACTGAGGCCTGAGGCTTAGGAGGACTTAATAACATGTCCCAGGGGCCAGAGGGAAATGGTAAGGAGGTTAGAATCCATAAACTTCTGCAATGCTCATGTCTAGAAACATCCAAATGTTCTCAGTGCAATCTCTGAGGTCACAGAGGCAGTCACATACATGTCTCCACAGGTGTAAACACCTGCCCGTGTGCTAGGGGTGCTCTCTCTCTGCATTGTCCACACAGCTCACGTACCTGTCCTCTTTCCTGGATGGGATCAAGGAAAAAAATTCTCATGGCTGTCTTCCTGACCGGTCATCCAAAAACGACACTGTTCCCATCCCATCCCTAGGCTGGTTTCTTCAATGACACCCAGGCCTCTCTCTAATCATCCGATTCATAAAATTGCCTGTGGCGGGTCCAATTGCAGGAAAGGGAACAGCAGTGTGCCTGGCACAGAAGCAGCGCTCCAGAAAGGCGATTGCTCTGCTGGCAAGGACTCATTCCTAGGAAGCCTCTCTTTCCCCTTCTAGGCACCTAATCACCGCTAGAGGGCATCCAGGAACTGTGCCGGTTTTGGCAGGGGACCCACCTTTCATGTGCTCCAGCCTCACAGCTGGGCTGCCCTCCCCTGACTGACCCAAGCCTTCCCCCATGTCTCTATGGGAATTGACCCTCTGGGTTTCCCTCCATCGGCCCTTCCGGATGAAAACTTCACTTCCCCTCGGGGCTGATGGCGTCTCCGCAAACCCTCCTGAATGATCCCGCGCTCACAGGGCCCGTGGATAAAGAGGCGCGCGAAAAGAGGCACGGGGCGCTGTGAAAAGAGGGCACTAGGGCAAAGGTTAGGGGGACAAGTCTCGATACCTCTAAAAGCTAGTTTAAAATCGGATGCCCGTAGCGAAGGCGCGGCTGCAGCGCGCTCCCCGGCGTAGTTGTCCCGCTTCCTGGAGGGGCGCTCCCAGCCCCAGAGGACCCCCGGGAAGGCCCGGCCGGGTCGCAGGGAGCGGCGGCAGAGACCCAGGCGGGACAGGGGCTCGCAGCCCTCCGTTTCTACCTACGCCTGCCCCCAGGTCAGGGCTGGAGAAAGCCAATTTGTGTAGCCCAAAGGGGATGGGAGCCCCACTCCCCGCGCCCTAGGGACGGCCACGCCCTCCGGACGCTCCGGGACTCACCGCCTCGGCGCCCACAGCTCTCCCAGCTCACCCGGTGCAGTGCCCAGGGCGCAGGCGCGCGGCTGCGCATTGAACTACAACTCCCGGCAGGCTGCAGGTCACCCGCCCCGCCGCGTGGGCCCATAAGGATGCTGACGTGGGAGGGGGTGGGCTCTTCTTGGTCCCCACCAGGCCTCAAGCTGCTTTGGATCTGATCCCATTTCCGGTCCTAAAAGCTTCTAGATCCCAGTGGATTGGGTGGGGCGTGTCTTGTTCTTGATGTTAGCCAGGGCTTCTTTCCCATCAGCCCTAGAATAACAGGAGCGGGTGGGGATGTAAACCAAAATAAATTTTACACGCGAATGAAAGGCATTTATTTGAGCAAAAAAGAGCTGCAGCCCAGGAGACACAGATTCTCATAGCAACTTGAATTTTGTTCCTCCGAAACAAAGGGGAGTTCATCTTTTATAGTGAAGTTCTCACCCAGTTTCTCAATTAGGTCTATTTATGTAAATAAGGTACCCAAATTATGCAGTTCCTGATTGGACAGGGCAGATCTCAGTCTTGGGTGGAAAGGAGAAAACCAGGGTTTCCCTGTAATGGTTGACTCAGATGGTGTAAATTGGCAATCTTTTGAGACCAAACATACCCAAAGAGCCGCCTGTAGCTCGCAAGCCGTTTGGCAACCCCTGGTGTAAATAAACGGGGCATAGTGCAGGAAGTGAGAGAGTTCAGTCTTAGGTTTTTCCTGCTGAACAGAGTATGCGAGAAGCCTCTATCATCAAATGGTCGCTAGGCTCTTATTTATAAATTTGGACCATTGGGAGTCCTTCTCAGCAGATAAATTACTTCTTGAGGCTCACATCATGTGAATCTTTCTGCCCAGGGTCCACATTGACCTACTGTAAATGTGTTATGATGGGGCCAGTGATTTTCAAACTTCTTTGTGTAGGAAGAATTTCTAGGGGAGCTTGTTAAAAATTCAGATTTCTGTACCCCCATCCCGACACCCTGATGCACTGGATCTCGCGTGAGCTCAAGGATTTGCATTTTAATAAGCTTTCCGTGGGATTGTGACTCTGGTCTTTAGCTCTTGGGTCTTGAGTTACCTTTGTATTTTCTTCTCTCAAAGACCTGAGCGTCAACCTAGCTACCCAATGCATTCCTCTTCACCTTCAGCTGGACACCAGAAGGTTCCCTGGTCTTTGGGTTCACCTGATGGCCAGGTCTATTGTCTTCCAATTGGTCCCTCAATGGTTCCAGCCCTGGAGTCAAATTTTCCTGCCCAGGTAGTCAGTGGTGACTTGTACCTTAGCCAGATGTAATGCTGTCATTTTGGTAAATGTAGTCATCGCTTTGGTCTGAACCTAGTGCTGTTGGTTTTTGGATGCCATTCTTTAGTGCTGGTACTTCCTGCACTTCCTGCATAGGACCAGGATCTAGTCCTGCGTGGGTCCAAGACAGAGAGGGGAGAGCTGCCTGTGATTGTGCCTTCCACAGGGCCTGGTGATAGCAAGATGAGAGGGCAGGTGCATCACTTTTCCTGAACCCACAGAGGCCAAGTTACTGGAGACAGCTCTGCCTAGGCTGGAGTTGTGCTTATGGGTTGGGACTTGGAGCCCCCAGCATGCCAACTGCTGCATGTGCTGTTTATTGTTGCAAGGGGAACCTGGGCACCTTCGCTGGCAGTCGCATCTGGTTTCAGAGATAAAGTGGTCCAGTAGTCTGATGATGGCGTCTGGCCTGGGTTCCTAGGAGCAAAAAGGGCTCCTGATTGTGAAACCAATGGCGTTTTTCTTCCTGGAGCAAGGAGCTCCCCACTCGACCGAAGGCCCAGTGGGAAGGCCTCCCACCTGTGCCTCTGTGGGTTCTGCTGCTGCTCCCCCAGGAACCCTTTAGGTGGCTCCTGGAGCTTTTTGTGTGTAGGTGGCTTTGGCCTGAGATGCACCCCATGAGGCAGATCTTGCACCTGCTGGTGTTGGAGCAGTTCCTGACCACCCTGTCTCAAGAGATCCACAGCAGGGAGCAGAAGCTGCATCTGCAGGGCTGCAAGGAAGCTGGGACTCAGAGTAAATTCAAAGAGAGCTTGTGAGACTGAGACAATAGGTGAGTGGGAGAGAGAACTTTCTCATCTGTGGTTGGTTTGGCCCCCAAAACTGTGACATCACAGAATCTTACTTCCCCGTTCAGGTTGTCTTGATTGCCCTGAGTATACCTTACATGGTCAAGTGACTTTTTGTTGTTTAGCCTGGAACTTTCATCCTCTAGATTCCCCAAGTGCACAGAGTGAACAGTGAAGGGAGGCAGTGTCGCTGCTGCAAGAGTTCGTGTCAGCTCTGGGGTTGGATCAAAGTGGTTCAGATCCTGGCTCTGCTGGCTGCCCACCAGCTATGTGACTTTTGGCAAGTTACTATTCCCCCTTGGGCCTCAATCCCCCAGTTGGTATGATGGCTTCTGGGATTGTTTTGAGGATTAAAAGGAGAGCAGCATGTATGTTTTGATCATACTGCTGGCACTAGGTAGTGCTTAAAACTGTTAGCTGTTGTTATTGTTAGCACCAGCAGTCTGGTCTCCTCTGCAGAGCTGGGTCTCAGTTAATGGTGAACTTAAAAGAAAGAAACAGTTTGGTACTGAGGCTTTGAGGTCACCGCTTCCAGGGCCCTCCAAGTTAGCTTATCCAGTGAGGAATAGGAGCATCTGGAAAAGGTGGGGCATAAAAGGGGAAGTGAAGTACATCAGAAGACTTATAGGGGAAGGTGTTCACTGGAAAGGATCCTCTCTACATGCTCCATACACAATCACATACACACATTTTCGCTCATGGACATGGTGTCAAAAACCCCTTCCTTTTCTCTTGTTGGGTCCAAAGAGATAGACTGGTTTCCTGTTGAAGGTTTACCCTCAGATTCCTGTAATAATTTCCATTTCTGTTGGGCCCTGTTGTCATGATGAGTGATGGCAGGTTGGTTTCAGGTTACAAACAATGGGCTGGGAACAGAAATGCTTCTGGAGAAGACTTTGCCTCAGGAAACAGCATGAAAGTTACTGAGCTTCAAGCTGGAACCCAGGGACACTCAGGGAAGCCCTGAAGTCTAGAGTAGTTGGTACCTCTTGCTCGCTAGGTCCAATCAGCTATCATCAACAGTGTGATAAAACTTTGTGATGTCTTGTGGCTTAGAAGAAAATTGGTGAAGATCTCCACGAATTGAATTATGGCATAGAACTGGAAAATAGATATACCTCTGAGGTAGGACAGTGAAGATGTATTGCTGGCCTTGCCAGCTGAAAGAAAACTGCTTCTGGTTGTTATACTAACAGTCATTGAGAAAAAGCATTTGCCAGATCAATAAATGCATAACAGGTACCAGGGTGTGTGTTCATTTGCTTAAGCAATGAAATCACATCTAGAATAGTAGCTGCAATTGGAATCACTGCCTGGTTAAGTTTATAATAAACTTCTGTCATCCTCCAAGATCCATTTGTCTTCTACACAGGCTAAATAAGGGAATTGAATGAAGATGTAGTGGGACTTGCCATCCGTGCGTGTTTCTTTCAGGTTATAGACGGTGGCAATAGTCTCTAAAATCCCTCCAGGAATGTGGTATTCCTTTTGGTTTACTATTTTTCTAGGTAAAAGAAGTTCTAATGGCTTCCACGTGGCCTCTCACCATAATAGCTCTCATTCCACAGGTCAGGGAACCAATGTGGGGATTCAGCCAGTTACTGAGTATGTCTACTCCAATTATGTGTTCTGGAACTGGGGAAATAACTGTAGGATGAGTTTGGTGGGTGAACAGGTCATACATGATAAATCCACTTTTATGTTCCAATCTCCCTAAGCTTTTGGGTACAGTATACCAAGGCAGTTTTAGCACTTCAACTTCATTTAGTGTAGATCACCTTTTGGTTCATGTTTCAGTCAACCAACAAACCAATCAACATGATAATGCCCTTTTTAACCCCTTGAGCTACATCTTTGAGTTCAGAATCTCTGCTTAGTGGAACCACATGCATATATTCAGCCTGATCCAACTTTATGTTCTTCCCACTGTTATCCCACACTCTTCATATTCATTCCCACTCAAATTCCCCGGATTTCTGTCAGTATAAATTGGAACAGTCATGCAGTTCTTTTGGTGTGTAGTGTGCTTCCTCATGGGTCACATTTTGTACTTCACTTTTTGGGGCCTGCTGGGACTCTAAAGACAGGTGTTGATGGGTAGATCCCCAGGACAATCAGCAGTGTCTTGCAAGTCAATGACCTCAGGGGAAGCAATTAAAGGTTTTCAGGCAAAACAGGGTTAACCTCCTTGGACAGGGGTGGAAGGGCTGCTTCTATTGGCAGAGAAGATTCAGCAGAATTTAGGGCTTTACTGTCCCCAGTTTTATTAGGATCTGTCCATATGTCCTCATTCCAATGTTCAAGACCTCACTTTAACAGAAGACACCCTGTGAAATTTGGAATTTAATTTACATTGCAATTTAGCAACTGACAGGATGATAGCCTGGGTTTAGTTTTCAGAGATTTCTGCCCTTTGGCTACCCTGTGGTTACTGTATTTTTTAGTTATATATTCTCATTCAGTTCTTTTATACAACTTCTATTTATTTTTCTGAGATTTTATGTTCTTTTATTGAAGATAATTTGTAATTGCTTTTTTGAATTATTATATGATGGCTGCTTTAAAATCCTTGTCAAAGAAT